TCTACCCTACCAAAGCACAAACCCAGTCAGCCTCTAAGATACTATGATATGGAGTTTTCACAAGATGATATGGGCCTATCAGAAAGTGGCATCTCACCTAGGCTAGGGTTAGATATCAGGGAAGGCTTCCCAGAAGAAGAAACACTTAACATGGATCTTGAGGAACATTGTGAGACAGTAAGAAAGGAAATAGAAGGTTGAGGAGGAGAAAACACATGCAAAATCATGAAACTATGAGGACATGCTGTATACTAGGGAAGTGTTAGTGACTCCTGACTACTAGAATGTAGAGTGATGTTGGGAAATGGAGCTGCTCAATGTGTATTTGTTGAAATGACTGAACCTAGGAGATCTAGTAACTACTAGAAATAATGGATAAAGGAAGAAAAAAGTAATCAAGGACATCTAACTTAAAAGGCAGATAGGTGACATTCTTTTCATGGAGATAGAAAATGGAGAAGAAAGAAATGAAAGGATATGTTCAATGGAAAACCCAAAAGAAGAATCAGCAGGTAGTTGAATGTAAGAGTCTGGAGCTCAGTCAGTGGTAAGGATAGGAGAGGTGGTTGAAGCCATAAGCATGAGGGGATTTCTCAGGCAGAATATTTTGACTGACAAGCCAGAGAAATGGGGAAGGTAGAGGGCAAGTGGGGCGGGGGAGCAGGTGGAGGGGGAAGAGGGGAGAGAGAGAATGAATATGAGAAAGAAGTCACAGAAGCCAGAGAGAAGACATATTGAAAAAGCAGTCAATAAAGACAAATGCTTCAGAAAGATAAAGTAACATTTAGCCTGATAATGTGCATTATATTTGACAACTAGTCAACTATTTTGGCCTTAACAGGTTCTATTTCAGTAATGGCAAAAGCCAGGTTAAAACAGTCTGCAAAGTGAATGAGAAATGAAGAATTAGAGATGGGAATATAAAATACTCTGTAAGGAAAATTGACTCTCAGAAACAATTTGCTAGAAGTGGACGAAGAGACAGAGTTTGTTTCATTTGGTTTTAATTTTTCAGAGTACAAGACTTAAACATGTAAATATGTTGAATTCTCTGAACTTTTACATCTCTACCTATAAAATAGGGATAATAATGCCTCTTCTGTTTGGTCCATTGGGTTGTTTTCAGAACAAGTAAGATGACATATGTGAAAGATTCTAATCTAAGTACTATATAAAGGGCAAGGTTACTATGTATTTATAAATGTTGAAAATATGGAGTTATAAAAGTCAAGAGTCCAGTGAAATATGGTTGGCTATAAAACCGAGGTAAAAATATAATCAGTTTAGATCTAGAAATATTAAGAAAAATGTCTTTTTAATACACACTACAAGTTGCTGACCCCAAATCTTAGAGGTTAACAAGAAATTTCTAAGTTCTATGCTGGACAAAATTCTTCTGGGGCTCCTAGGTTACAGGCTGGGTTTCCAAACATCTTCATTACACCAGAAAGGAAAAAAAAAAAAAAATCCAATTAACCCTGGCAGACTGCAGTACATTAAGTCATCCGGGGATTTATTAGTCTTATGAGTAGTAGTTCTTAAATAAATATTTCTGGCAGGCACCCAGTTTCACAAAGCAAAAGACTAGCTCCATAATTTAGGTCTCATGACCAGTGAAATCATGGGGAATGGCCGCAGCTTGCTGAATATGTTATTCTAAGGGGCGATTGAGGTATTCTGGGAAGAAAGCGAGCCATTTTAGGACTTCTCTCCGGGGCAGATTAACCATCCAAAAGAATATGGTCCAATCATTATTTCACTAGCCACCAAATCTTTACAGACTCCAGAAAGAACGTTATTTTTAGCACTGTGACATGAGTGGAACTAGTTTTTCTCTCATATAACTTCTAACAAGTGGTCTTAACATGTCCCATCTTCTTCTCCTGGGAAGATATCTTAACTCTCATAAAAGAAAAAAGTTCTCTTTTTTTTTTCTCTGCACCTTTGAACAACTCTCTCTGACTTGGTTCCTAGTTGCTAATGTATCCTCCTCAATTATTTTATTTTCAAGGATGTAGGGTGCTAATGAAGGTCAAGTAGCTGTGTTTCCAGCTCCAAATAGTAATTGTGTAGAATAAACTTTCCTTTACAATAGAGACTAAAGATCTAGTCTTGAGACCCAAATAAACCCTATTTGCAGCTATTTTTACTTTTTTTTATCTGAAGGAGGCCAGGCTATAACACTACAATGGTGCTTCTTTTATCCATATTTCTCAAACATTTTATCCTTAATGTGTGACACTATCATACACAGCTATTCAACAAGGCCAAATGTCTGCAGGTCAAGTTTTAGACCTTCCATCCACTGCAATGCTGAATTCCACACTAAGGCTGAGGGCCAATAAAGCAATTTCCAAATTATCTCAATCAGAACCATGAAGAAAAAGACAAAACTTATGTTGCCCTCAAATAATATCAACAAACATTTATATAGACCTTTATAGCCAAATATCTTTAATAAGTATACCTCATTTATTCTTAAAATAACTGTAAAGTTTTTACCCTTTGTTATCACCGATTCATAGAAGAGGATTCTGAGGCCCAAGGAATTTAAGAGTATTTCCCAAGGCTACACAGTTGTTTGAGAGCTGAACCAGGTCTATATCCAAAGTCCTCTGCTTCCTCAGCTCTTTCCACCACACAGTAAATGGCCCCCGTCGTGTTATACACTTTATTTTTATTTCGCATCTCTAGCAACAGTGAAAAGAGCCTGGCTTTCTCTGAAGTCTTTGAGAATCTTTGGTGGTATTAGGTAGCATAATTCCTCCAACTTAATTCTTCTTTCACAGGATGGCTGTTCCTATGCAGGGCCTTTTGTGGTTCCATATAAATTCTTGAAATATCTGTTCTAGCTCAGTAAAATATGTCATTGTAACCTTGATAGGTATTGTGTTGAATTGATAGATTGTTTTGGGTAGTATGGATATTTTAATGATGTTAGTTCTTCCTAACCATGAACATAGTATATGCTTCTACTTATTTATATATTGAACTATATTATAAGGTCATAGTAATCAAAACAGCATAGTACTGGCATAAAAACAGACATATAGATCAATGGAACAGAATAGGGAGCCCAGAAATAAACTCACACCCTTAAAGTCAAATAATATTTTACAGCGGAAGCAGGCACATACAATGGGTTAAGAAAGTTTATTTAATAAATGGTGTTGGAAAATTGGACAAATATATGCAAAAAAATGAACCTATACCACCTTCTTAAACCACACACAAGAATAAATTCAAAATGGATTAAAGACTTAAACGTTAAACCCGAAACCATAAAAGTCTTAGAAGAAAACATAGGCAGCAAAATCTCAGACATTACATTTTAGCAATGGTTTGTCAGATGTATCTCCCCAGGCAAGGAAAACAAAAAAATAAATAAACAAATGGGACTACTTCAAACTAAAAATTTTTGCACAGCAAAAGAAAACATCAACAAAATAAAAAGACAATCTACAAAATGGGAGAATATATTCACCAATACATCTGATAAGGGGTTAATATCCAAAATGTATAAAAAACTTACAAAACTCAACACCAAAAAAAACAAACAACCCAATTAAAAAAAGGGCAAAGGACCTGAATTGGCACTTCTCCAAAGAGGACATAAGATGGCCAATAGACATAAGAAAAGATGTACAACATCACTAATCATCAGAGAAAAAATGCAAATTAAAACCACGATGAGATATCTTCTCACACCTGTCAGAATGGCTATCATCAATAAATCAACAAACAACAAGCGCTGGCAAGGATATGGATGAAAGGGGAACCCTTTTGCACTATTGATGGGAATGCAGGCTGGTGCAGCCACTGTGGAAAGCAGTATGGAGATACCTCAAAAAATTAAAGATGGATCTGCCTTTTGATCCAGCAATCCCACTTCTGGGAATATATCCAAAGAAACCAAAAACACTAATTTGAAAGAACATAAGCACCCCTATGTTCATTGCAGTGTCATCTACAATCGCCAACATATGGAAACAGCCTAAGTGTCCATCAGCAGGTGAGTGGATAGAACAACTATGGGGATTTACACAATGGAATACTACTTGGCTGTAAAAAAAAAAAAAGAGAGAGAGAGAGAATTTTACCCTTTGTGACAGCATGGATGGACCAGGAGAAACGTTATGCTAAGTGAAATAAACCAGTCAGAGAAAGACAAATACCATGTGAGTTCACACATATGTGGAATCTAATGAACAAACTCAACTAACAAGCAAAGTAGAGACAGACTTATAGATGGAGAGCAGGATGACAACTAAGTCGGGGGCAGTGGGGATGGGGGTGGAGGGACTGAGCAGAATGGAAAAAGGACGCATGGACATGGACAACAGTGTGGCGAATGCTGGGAGGAGGGAGTATAAGGGGACTAAATAGTAATGGAAAAAATACAATAAAGATTTAAAAAATAATAATAGGTAAAGTGTAGAACAATTTAAATTAAAATAGTCATATTTATAAAACTGTCTGGGTGTTGCACTTTTGATGAACAAAAGGTAGAAGCTTTTACTCAGCTAGGGGAGGGATAGAGGGTGGCGGGATTGAGCAAAAAGGATTAAGGCTTCAGGGACGTGGACAACAGTGTGGTGACCGAGGGGACGAGGAGGGGGATATAAGGGACCTAAATGGTTATGGGAAAAAATTCAAAAAGAAAATAAACAAAATCTTTAAAAAAGAATCTTTGATAAAACACAGACATAATTCAGTTCTTTCACTAATGAAAATACATAATATATTGGTTAAATAAGGAATGTTATGGGATCATCATGGATGTGAAAGCTTTTTAAAGAATGCACAAATGATGCCTGGAATCCTGAGAAGGCCAAAGAAGATATTACAAACAAATGACCAAATATAGAATGGGGAAAAATTGCATGAGCAATCATCCTTTTTTTCATTGAAATGGTTTATTTTTATTTTATAAGGGTTTCTCTTTCATAAAAAAAGAACCCTGGTTTTTAAAAGTATTTCAAATTAATATCATGACCCACCTGTAAATGGAGAAGGAAGCCACCGATCGAATGAGGGACGCCAAAGCCCCCACTTTGGCAGCTTCCACTGCCCCCCGGACTCGGTATTGCACCGCCTTGGAGTAGTTGGTGTATGGCTGATTATAAACAACAATCTTCCCTTTGGCTTCTCGGGCCCTTCTCTGCAGTTCATCGAAAGAGGTCACCACCAGCACTTCTGCTGTAATGCCTAGAAATAAAAGTGATCCAGGATTAACTTACAGTTTCCGATCAGCCAGGTTGAATTGGCATGTGAAAGGTCACATACGCTCTGTCTGCTACATCTGGAAAACTGGTCAGAGTAGATCAAAGTTTTACAGCCATTTGCCATGGGAGAAAGATTGTGGGGGTTAGCCAGTTTCCCAAGAGAGAGAAAAGGCATTCCAAATAACATAACATACAACTCAAAAGGTTTTCCAACTCACTTGACCAGCTGGTATTAAATCACAAATGGCTTGAAAAGTTGGTATTTTTTTTTCCTTCTTTCCCACCCTAAGAAGTCACTAATTCTTTATAAAGAAAATGCATTTTAGGAAGCTCCCCTTGGGATTAATGAAACATATTTATCTTTTCACAAAACCATTTTGATATGTTGGTATACAACCTTCATTGACATCATACAAAGAATGGCCATTCGTGAAGAACAATCTTAGAAGCCAATGATCTTCATTAACTTTTAAGAAATAGTCTATGTAACCTCTCCCAAGAGCCACAAAATGTCAGCTTGTTTTCTTTCCTCCTTTCTACAGAAAGTTCTTGAAGGATGTGGAAATTTCCCATACCTCCCAGTTTACAGTATTTGTTCACACCAAACACATAACTAGTCTTCAGATAAAATTTTTGAAGATGCTGTATAATTGTCCTATTATCCTATTTGTCTCACTTGGAAGAGACACGCTATCTTTCCTCATACCACAAATCGTGCTCAGACCTTCCTCATTAGGGAATGAGCTTTCACAGGTTGTGAGAAGTCATTCAGACATTGCCAGACCACTGAAGATCCAATGTTATGGAGCAGTTAGAGTAACAACAACAAAATTTAGCAACAAAGGCCAGATGGAGTGGCTAAATATAACTATCTAAAAGAAAGCGGCAGGCGCCTACTGTTTTGTGGCTTTAGACACAGTCATGAAATATGTCAGTAAAAACCAAAGTAGCAACATATATTTGGCATCTTTCCTTAATCTTGCAAACTAGAGAACTAGTTTTCTCTGGAAGCTGAACAGATGTCATTAAAATATTAACTGTTACTTGGAAAATCCTTTTAAAATGCACGGTAGTTATAAGAGAAGTCTTGCTTTCAATATAAACTCCATCATAATGGGCCCTTCAAGCTGGCTCCTCTCCTACTCTAGTTCCACCAGCCAGACTAAATTTGTACTTTTCTTTAGAGCGATTGACTACAGACCTATAAGCATGTCTCCATCAACAGTCAGAACTCAGAATTTAATTTATAATCTAAAAAAAGCAATGTACAATTATGGAAAGTAAGGAAGCCACTAGCTTTTTCACATGGTACATATGTGCAACAATACAAATAAGGGTTCAGCTGGACAGACTTTGGGAATCATAACTTTCTGAAATCCCGAGTTACCTTGCAACTTGACTGGCATTACTATTGGCACAGTATGAGAATTTTGTTGATGGTTTTCAGCTGTTCTAATGAAAACAAGATTGAATGTTTTACCTAAGGGATGTCCCAGCAATGGGGTAATTTTGGCATCTGGATTGGAGCCTCTAGAACTAAAGCCAAATTTCTATAAATTTTCATAGGCCACTGCGAAATTAAAGTCATACAAGGGTGGTACTTCTCTATGGTCTATACTCCAAGTTCTTTTAACAAGAGAGGGTGACAGAGTGCTGAAGAGCCAAAACCTAACCGAGACATTATAGTTGCCAATGCAAATTAACTAGTAATAGATATAGGTCAAAACCTATCACCATGAACTTGGAAGAAGAGTTCGAATCAATCCGTTTTCCTGAAAGCTTAGAATCATCTCTGATTCTTCTGTCTCCTTCATCCTCCATTTCTAGTCAATCCTGAAACACTAATAATTTTACTTCTTATATATTGATTGAACCCAGGTCCCCTGCTCCACCCAATTATACATTCTCGCTTCAGGCCCTTATTATCTCTCTATTGAATTGCTATGAATCTCTTCTTCTCCACCACACTGGTGTCCTCGCCTCTAGCCCAGGTCCCTCAATTTAATCCTCAACAGAGCTGCCAGCGTGAACTCTGCGAACCGCTGAAAAGTCAGATCAGCCCATGTTACCATGCCTCTGCCCTCCTTCCATCTACGTACCAGTCAAAGACTATCTTTGCAGACAGAGGATCCCTTTACTTTCAAATTCCATCAATGGTAAACTTAAAAGTTCCCCCTCACCGTGTAAGCTCATTTCTGTGTCCTTGTTCACAGTGTGGTATATCATGTCTTACTAACCCCATTCTCCCCACTTCATCATGTGACAAACACCTATTTATTCCTCAGGGTGCCATTTAAAAATCACTCCTTTAGGGAACATTCCATGGCCTCAGGCCTCTTGTCTCATCCCCTCCTTCTCACCCCAGGGGAGGCTGACTCCTGCACCACCTTACTCTGGGCTTTGACAGTGCCCTAGGCACACCTGGGCACTGGACAGTGAAATTCTGCGTAGGCATGACTCTCTCAGCTGCCCAACTGTGATCTCCTCAGAGCCAGGGGTCATGTTCTTTTCATTTGAATCTCCTGGTCTAACACAGTGCTTGGTGCATGTGTAGCAGTTAGTCAATAAATACCTCCTTGGATGGCACTGTTTCAAATAAGGGACCACTGACTGGACCTAAGGCATTTTACCTTTCAAGTTTGATTGTGCTTCGCACACAGCAACTCCAGAGTCTGATTCTCCCACCAACCCGAGCACAGATACACAGCAATAGCCAGGCACAAAAGGCCTTGGGGCAGTAGAATAGAAATAAAAATTTCAAGCATGAAAACTCTGAAAGCTTTTTTTTCTCTCTTAGAGGCCAGTTACTCTTACTTTACACAAAATTCTAAATCTACTATGTAAGCCGTTAAGCTATGAGAAACAACAAATCAAAAGAAAGAGAGAGGTTTGGAAGCTGATAGCAATACTACAAGAAAACAACATGTAAAATAACAGATACGAATACAATTTTATGCAATGTTGGAAATGTTCTATCTCTGTGATAATATAGTAGCTATTAGACACACACGTGGCTATAGAAAACTTCAAATGTGACTAATGTGCTCAGGAACTGAATTTTTTCTATCATTTGTTGGAGTTAATTTATATTCAAATTTATATAGCCATGTGTGTGTGGTGGGCGCTCTGCAGAACTCACAATCACCACAGGCTCAGCCACTACGTAGACAAAGGGCTGAGAGCGCCCCTGCCGGCCCGAGGGCCCTGCTTCCTGGCAGTGCCATAGGATGTGACAGCCATGCTGATGACCTCCCGCAGAGGTCCCAGGCCGGGGGTACGGTATTCAGTAGACTTCATTTGTAAAAGCAGGGTGTGTACAAACACTTAAGGAAGATTTTTGCTCCCACTGAATCAAATAAAACTAGGCCATCTGGAAAACGTCACTGTCCAAAGTTAGTTAGTGTTTTGACATGTTACACGAAGGAAATCCTCCCGCCCTCCTACAAGTCAGCGGGCTCCTCTTCTTTTCTCTCCGCTCGTCTCTCTTCTTTCCATTCTCTCATTCAAAAAAAAATAGTGCATGAGAACCTCTGAGAACTCAAAACCAGGGGTGTAGTCACAGCAAAGCTTGCCCTGACCTCCCTGTTTGTAACTGAAAGCCTCTGCCAAACTTCACCCCTCATACTTTGCTTAATTTGTCTATAGAATTTATCCACTTCCAGCTGCATCCACTACAGTGATGTTAGTTAGCTCTGTAGAGATGTTTGTCTGTCTTATTCATTATTACCAAAATGCCTGAAATGGCGTTGGACACACAAGGTACAAAATTCATTCATAGGCACAAATACACACATATATACTGAATAAATAAAAATAAACCAAAAATAAAAATAATCCCACCTCATCTTTGGTCACCTTCCAAAAATGTATATTTCCAAGGGAATGGTGTATTTCTGTATATTCTGTCAGAATAATTGGTGATAATGAAAATAACAGTAGCTATATTTGAGTAGCTATTGTTTATAGTAATGTTCATAGAAACTCTGCAAATTCGCTATTAGAAGGAACCTGAAGTGCAGAAAAGTTTACGCAGCTACTAGGTATTGAAGCCCAGATGTGAGTTACTTGCTTTCTGATCCCAAAGGCCATGCCCCTCCCACTAACCTCATTGCTATCTTTTTTCAAACATGTAAAATACATCAAAAGAAAATCTAGATATTTTTATTTTAAGAGGATTAACAAGGAAAAATAAATAGGTATACAAAAGTCAACCTAAGTTATCAGTTTCTTTTTTCTTAGTCTACCCAGGATCCTGCTCATAAATCAGGGTGCTGTGATCACAACTGGCCTCAATCTATTAATAGGAGGCGGGGAGGGGTGCTTCGCTCCAGGACAAGAGCCATCAGACTCTGTTACAGTAATGAAAAGGATTATGCTGGTTAATTCTGAAGAAAATGTGGGTCTGGCCCTAAAATGATATTCATATTATAAAGTGACTCTCTTGGCTATAGCTGATTATATCTTAAAAATAGCATTAAAATTCTCAGGTTCCTTTTTATTCTCCACACTAATTTTTCAAATTGATCAATTTATCTTTAAGCAACTTACCCTGTGCATCACTACTGCTGCAGCCTCCTTGCAGAGACTACAGATACTGACTGCCCCAGTATTGGCGCAAGTCATATCTTCTACAGAGAATCTGATAAAGGGATTCCACTTGTAGTCTCTTCTGACTTGGCTCCTCCCAAAAAGAGTTAAAAGTAGGAAGATCACAAAGTGAGAAACTCGTGTTTTCTGCTATTAAAAAGAAAAGACTACGGACAGAAAAACATGTCTCTGGGACTCAGTTCACTGCGGCATGTTTTAGGAAATTGACTCTTATTTCACAAGACTTAACCCTAAACAGGAAACACTTCAGGCCCACCCAAAAGGAAGCATAGCTTCTTACACTTAACACATAAAATGATCCCAAGTGCACTACACAATATAACTAGGTCCAGTAGAACATCTGGCTTTTCCTGAACTCAGTTATGGAGAAGGAAA